GCCGTCGGTGCCGAGGAGTAGGGATTTATTTCGGCGGCGGACAACAGGTGTGTGAGAGGACGGAGAGGACGGAGAGGACGAAGAAGTGCGGGGACTGCAAGGAAGCGGCATACTGCGGGAAAGGTCATCAGAGGGCAGATTGGAAGAGTCACAGAGCAAGTTGTATGTCTCAACCGGGACGATGGCCGAGAGGGCCACAGGATCACAGGAGGGTTCAAAGTAAGGAGGGACGCATAACATCACTTTCATTTACAAGTTCAAAAACTCATTTACCCGGCCTTAGCTATTCGACGTTGGGATATTTCTTGGGGGGCTGACGCATGCGGTGCGGGCGCGTTCCGGAATCAATGTTCGGAGAGGGATCTAACGTGATAGACGGTTCTTCTGGCTCAGATGTGGTTGATGGTGATGCTAGGACACATGGCGAATCCCCAGTGCCTCCAACCGGGCCTCCAACCGGAGGCAGCTCGGGACTAGACGCCGTTGCCAATGGTGGAGGTATGGAGCCATATGTCGGGTTTGCAACGCCTCCGAGTGTGTTCGACAGCCGAGGCTTCTTCGAGGGTGTTGACGGAGTTTCTCGACCTTCCCAGCGGGCAGATCGCTTCGAATGCGGAGTAGCTGCCGAGGGCGGCGTGGCCGCGGCCGAGGTAGGCCTTGGTAGGTAGGACAAATCAAGGACGCGAAGGGCGAGTTGATTCGTGTCTGCTATGCGACCGACTATCTTGGCTGCAAGGCTTAGCAGAGTTCCAGTTGGCGGTATCTTGACCCTTTGCCAACGCCTTGTGTTTTCTAGGAAGCAGGCGACGACGAACGCCACCGGTGCAGGTTTTGATGGCTCGTAGACGGACGTCTCGACGGCGAAACGGCGTTGTTCCAAAGCGTCCACAGAGTCGTTGTTCCTTGTCGACGCGGAACCGATGATGGTCACCATTGGGCACCATTGCTCCGGCAAGTGTCGGCGATATTCGTTGAAGTCAGACACGTCTCCTGGATGTCTATTCGGGTTAGGCGGGCCGGGATTGGGGGCATAGTGG